CTACGCGGCTGGAGCCCAAGCCCGGCCCGGTCCAGCTTGGTGCCTGTTAGGTGGGTTTTGGATAAGAAAATCCTTTTCTTCCGGAAATCCTTGGTGATCCTGAACCTGCTTGTTTTTCCTCAGCAGTTGCGGAGACCCATGGTGGTTAATTAACCGGTTCGACAAAAGACACTTTCTGTGTGCCAGAATTTGCAAGGAGTTGCTAGCGCAGTGGGCACGCGGACTGTAAGACCCGGTAAGTCCAGGCCCAGAGCAGGGTGGTGAGTCCTGCGCTGGCGGGAAGTGAGGGCTGTGGGGACTTGGTAGAGGCAGTGATTCCCGTGCTGGCGTGGTCAGGCAGGCTGGGGTCCGAGGAGCGGCGTGGGCAGAGAGTTGGACAGCAGCGTATGTGGTCTCTAGCGGAAGCAAGGTGATGCGGAAGGCACGCTCTCGGCAATAACTATCGTGGACCCCATCCTCAGGAGAGAGATCAGCACCTGGCGCTGGGCCCTGTACGTGGGACGTGCCCCGGGAACACTTTCAGAACGAGTGTGGTCGGGGAGCTTCCTGCCCACTCTGTCCCCGAGCAGCACAGGTGGGCCCTGACCTGTGTGTTATCGTGTGAGGCATTTGAGATGCTGTAGGTCAGCCCTGGGATTGCTCCCCAGACAGTTAGGCTTGTGTTGCAGAGTGAGACTTGAGGCTGGTGCTTCTTGCTGCAGATCTGTGGGGCCTGACGGTCCTAACCCTCTGGCGAGATCTGGGCCCTAAGATCAACGGCTGGGACAACACTTTGTAGCTTCGGGCCTTCTCACATGCCCTGGACTTTACAGAGATTCACTGTCTACCTAAGAATTCAGAGGATGTTTTTGCAAACTGCTGCTTGCTGTCAGCCTGTATCACATCTGAGACAACAGCTCCCATGATTTAATTCTCTGTTAAATGGACCAGGATTTCCCTGCCCCTGAAGTGTCAGAGTGCAGGCTTTCCCGGTGGTGCTGTGCCGCAGGACCCAGGCTCTCTGTTTGCTTCTCCTCACTCATAGGATGTCGGTCTATGAGTTCTTCTAGAGCCTTCTTTTCATATGACCAAGTAAGTCCACTATGTGACCCAGCCAGTGAAGCCACTTAGCAGGATGGAATGAGTTGGCTAGGGGCCTTAACCCAAAGACAAGGCCATGCTGAACCTCCTTAGTTCTTGGAGAGGGCTGTTCAACAGGCCGACACTCTGACAACCACACTAAAGCACTGTCTGTGGTTTGTCATGAACTCTCTTATCTTGTCTCAGGCTTTGCAACGCAGTGTCCCGGAGGCTGCTTACTTGGCCATTGGCTTAGACTGGTGATTGCTGAGTCTGCTCATTCCTTGGGTACCTCCTTCATGCTTGTTTCTGTCTAGAATATGTCTGGGGCTGGGATGAGGGAGGATAGGAGAGAGGTGGCCCAGGAGCTGTTCTTGCCCGTGGGTAGCTCCTAATCTCTCTGAGATTGCTGTTTCACGGTGGCAGCTGGCTGCGTAGCAGGGGAGGAGCCTGGCGTGTGAGGACTTACCAAAGGAAGAGGCGCCTGTGCACAGCTCTGAGGAATGAGTGGGGTAAGGGAATCTAGGGTCCTTTGATTTCCTGAGAAAGCCTCCCGTTCTGACCCTGCGCCTCCATCTTTGGGAGGATTTGAAGCTGGATGCAAGGCCTTGGATGACTCGTGGCCACGCTGGCTGATAGTGTGCAGAGGGCTGGGAGGTGTGGCCCTGGCCCCAGGGATCTGTCAAGAGTTTAATTTTATGCAGATGGAGGTTGGCAGGAAATGCTGGAGTGCAGGCACGTGTAAGCCCAGCAGAGTACTGGAGTGAAAGTTAAACTTTGAAAAAGTTGCTCAGATCTTTCAGTTTGGACCTTTGAGGTGCCCAAGAGTAAGATGTCAGCCTATCCTAAAGCAAAGGGGGCTGGTGGGGCCTGTGGTCCGTGGGTTTTGTTCTGGGGACATATAATCAGGGAAAGATAGTTTTTTTTTTTTTTTTAAATTCTCAGAAAGAGTAGAGAGGGATGAAAAGACTGAACTAGACTTCTCAGAGCCCTAGAAGAGGTTTTTGTTGAATTGGTGTCATTGCAGGGCAGAGGATTATTTGGGTAATACATTCCTCAACTTTGACAGGATCTGTCTGAGCCTGGTCATAGGCCAGCCTCTGCTCCAAACCTCTCAAGAAGTGCTTGCTAAGAGCACTTGCTCTGTACCTGGCACCCCTGAGGGCCGGGGTGTGGTGAAGGCGTGATACTTGTAGGAGCCTGGAATGAGCAGGACAGAGTACATGAGATCTGACAGTATCGATCCCATCCCCCGCCAGAGAGCTTTCCTTGGTGAGCTTTGGTGCCAGTGATACCCTTGGTACTCCATAGGCTGCATGGCACCGTACTCCAGTCTCTTCTGACCTATTTTATTTCTTTTGGCACACCTGGTACCTGGAAAGTGCCCAGTTTCTGCCTTGTTCTTGTTTCTTGCATCTTTGCTGTCCCCTAGTCTGGACCTTCTTGCTCACCCAGAGATCAGCTGACTTGTGCCAGGCAGCTGGCTGCTTCAGGTCCACTGGTTTTCCTCTGGTGCTTTTTAGTGCTGATGATTGGCATACACTGTACCGAGTCTTGGGCTACTTGTTAATTTCTGTCATCTCATCCAGTCCGAACAACAGCCCTGTGAAATATAGGTCCTGCTGTTTATATAGACGGGGAAACTGAGTCTCAGAGAAGCCTGTAACTTGTCCAAGGTCACAAAGCCAAGAAGTAGTGGCGGAGGTGGGATTTAACCCTGGGTCTATTTGACTGAAGGGCCTGTGTGTGTTTCTACCTCCTCCGTGAGTGGGGCTGCTTGGTTATTTGTGGATGCTGTGATGTCTAGGGGAGGAGTGGGTATACCCTGAAACTGGGACCCTGGTGGTTCCCAATGTTTTCTGGGTCAGTGTTGCTGTTATTAGAGACCATATTGCTCTTCTCCTTCTGGTGAGATTCAGCCAAAGATGTCATGAATCTGCTTTGTGAACCGTGAGAGAGTCCTGAACCTGGGCAGGTATGCCTTGCCAGGGCAAAGTGTGGCTCCCATGTTTGGAAATCTCTTGTGTTATAAGGTAACTGGTATTCCCGTGTAACACTGAGTGGCAGCAGTATCTTGCGGAAAGTGTGTATAGGGCGTGGTCTTGGTTATGCCATTGGTTTGCTGTCAGATGTCACATATGTGGGAAACCCTGTCTCAGTTTCAGTTTTCTATCTTACCTATCTGTCGTGTACAGGAGAGCACCCTCCCCCATCCATGGTTTTGCTTTCTGCCATTTCATTTACCCATGGTTAACCACAGTCTGAACATATTAAATGGACAAGTAAAAAAATAAACAATTCATAAGGTTTAAATTGTGGACCTTTCTGAGATGCATGATGAAATCTCGGTCAGTTCTGCTCTGTTCTGCCCAGAACGTGAATCATCCTTTCATCCAGTGTATCCACACTGTATACACCACCCACCTGTTAGTCACTTCATCACCTCGAAGCTATTTTGGTTATGAAGCTGACTGTTAAAGTGTTGTGGTGTTTGTGTTTGAATAACCCTTATTTCATAATGGTGCCAAAGTACAAGAGTAATAATACTGGTAACTTTATTACAGTACATTATTATAATTATTTTATTTTAAAAGTTATTATTTTTTGGAAGCAAAAATTGTGGTTATCGTAGACCACATTTCCAGAAAACAGAGCCTGAGACTGAACTTCAGCTTTTAGTACTTTATTGGAAAGTGTATTTCTAGGGCAGCCAGGATGAGGGAAAAGAAAAGCAATGTATACAAGAATGGGAAGCAAATACAAGGTGGTGCTTTAGCAAGCTAACACGCTGCACAGAGGTATAAAGTCATAGCCAGGAATATAGCTCTATAGCGAAGTACCTGCCTGGCAAGCCCAAGGTCCTGAGTTCAATTTTCAAAAATAAAACACAACACAACAAAACAAAACAAAACAAGTCATTCAGAGGTATAAAGTCATTCTGTGTGCAAGCACTGTAGGAACTCTATGTGGGAAGAGCTTTTTGTAGAAGGTGTGCAGGAGGAATTTATCTGCTGACTTCCTCTTGTCTTCTTCATTGGTCAGAGTTGGCTCATGGGGAGTTAACTTTCCCTCACTCCTCAGTAGGTCTCTTCTGTGGCTACTGGGGAGGCCAGTCTGGAACGGTGGGAGAATCCAGAGATTCCAGAATGGGTCTGCACAGTCTGTTCCACTGGGATGAGGCAGAGGAAGTAGCCCATGGCCTAGGACATGGGTGAGGCCCAAAGAATATAAGGCAGTGTATAAGACGCATTCAGCACAGTGGTGTATGGTTTTTGTCCTCATGTGTCGATCCTTCGTGTAAGTTAGAGTCACCCACACTGCCAAGTCTCTGCCAAGACCCCGACTGAAAATGCAGCTGGGCATTGCATTTTGAGTTTAACAGCCTTCAGTGGTACTTTATCGTCTAGTTACTAAAGCAGGAGCTTTGTGATCTTGATGGTACTTAAGTGGGGAAGCAGAAATCAAAAGGTTCGTTTACTGGGCAGAGAAAGTATAAGGATCAATACCTATGATCTGACATATGTAGCCTCATCCATCCTTGCGAGGGCCCACTGACTCCCTTGTTCCTCTGCTGGCTGGGGTGGAAAACCAAAGCCCACCCCATCCAGATACTTCACCAGTAATTCTGAGCTGGCTACTTATCAAGCTAGGGATGGAATTTAAGAAAACCTTCAGGGAACGGGAGAACAGTACACTGAGCAGAAGTGTAGGTTTCACTGGGTCCTTGGTGAAGGAGGGTACTTTTCATGTGAAGTAGTTGTTGAAGATATGACACTGGAAGTCATGAAATGGGACTGGCAGGGGCATCAGGGTGAGGCCACATGGTTACAAGGACCCGTGGGCTAAGGGGTTTGGACGTTATTCTGCTGGTGGTGAGAGCCAAGGGAGGCCTCAGTAAGCTGTGCTGAGTACTTCCTGGGATGGAGTTGAGAGCAAAACCAGAGGAGATGTGGCGGTCAGGGCAGCATGGCTGCAACCCCGGGGCGGGGGGTGAGGGGTGGCTCAGGTCAGGGTGGTGACTGAGGCATGATGTTAGGGGAGAAGAGTTGGTGCCTCCTTTCCTCCCCTTTCCCAGAGACGGTAGCTTCTAGGCCTGAGTGGACATCCGTGTCTTTGGTAGCGGGGCCTCGTGGAGCTCTGCATAGCTCCTTCTAGGTGGGCGTGCAGGTCTTTTCAGCTCCGCGGTTCTAGAGTTGGCCACAGCAATGGGAGGGGGACCATGGTGCACGGTCGGTGGCAGGGCTTGGGGCTCAAGGAGCCCTGTTCGGAGAGGTTGCCTCTTCACGGAACGTGGGCAGGGTTTCGACCCTCCAGTGCTGAGTGAGACCTGTTTGTTCTCAGCAAACCCGTGTTCTGTCTCTGGGCTGTTAAGTACATTGTTAAAACTTGGGCTGTTGCATTTGGGTTGCAGCTGGGAGGTTGGCAGAGGGGCCTGATGAGGTAAGGGGAGAAGCTAAGAACGCTGCTGGCTTGCGGCTGGAAACATCTTTTCATGGTCATTTGGCCAGACTGTAAATGTCCTTTCCAAAGGGCGGGCTTGGTAGGACCTCTGGTTGTATGTCTTGGAATTGTCCCGTGCTTAGAAACAGTGCCAATTACCTGGTGGGTGAACTACCGTCTGGGGTGTTGGCAGGTTTTCCAGGCCCTCCCTGAGGGATTCTAAACCTGGAGTTGCCGTGGCCCCTTTGGAATTCATCTGAGAAGGCCTGCTTTGTTCCCTTTACATTTTAAGCATATTGTAAAATATTTTAAAAATTTCTGTATAATTCCTTGTAAAAGAATAAGAAAACAAACAGCATAAAAAAAGAAAAATAAAATTACTTCACCAAGACAGAGGTAGAAAGTGGTCCTCTTCTTGCACATCTGTGCACACGTTAGTTTTTTCTCATCAAAGTCAGATCATACGGTACTTAGTGTGGGGAGACCTGCTTTTCTCACAGCGTGCTTTGATCTCTCCATGTTGATGTACACATAGTGTGTGTGTTTATGTACTCCTTAAGAATCAGCTCTGTAGAAGAAATGTAAAATCTGTTGTGGCTCCTAATTTGAACAAGTCTGTGATGAAGAGTTATTTGTTAGGTGCAGGATATGGACCGGCATTATGCCAAACCTATGGGATGCAGCTCAGATAAAGGTCTATATTGGTTTTCTGCTCCATCTTAGTGCCTTTGGTTTTCATAAAAGGGGGTTTGATAGCTCCAGACCTATCCTGCCTAGGTTTATTTGTTATCTTCTTTCTGCTTTCTCCCCTTTCCCTCCTCCACTTCTTCCTCATTGCCATCCTCCTCTTTCTTCCTTACCTTTTTAAAATTTGTCGTGCTGGGGATGGAACCTAGGACCTGGAACACCCTAAGCAAGTTCTCGGTTGCTGAGCTATATCCCCCCCCCACCCTCTGCGTGGATTTCTGAGGGTTTCTGGGGGTGCTTTTGGCAGCACTGGATACTTTGTGGGGCACTGGGAAGGACACTCTAAGCTACTTTATCCTAAACAAGCTTTGGGTGCAGGTAGAAGGTGGGGTGCGGGCTGTCCTTCTCCATATTGTAGGGTGCAGTCCCTCTTGGATGCCTTCTCCCGCTGTAGTCCTAATCTAGGTGACCTTTTGTACAAAGACAGCTCAGGAGCCCAGGATCAGGAGAATGCTTGGGCTGGCGGTGTTGACGTGGAAGTCTGGGAGCCGCTTAGGGGTGTGCAGCTACTTGGGCCAGCAGAGGCCTCTTGCCCCTCTCTTGCCAGAGCAGGACTTTGCAGGCTCTCGGTGAGTCATTTCCTAGAACCCATCTGTGATTCTCTGAGGCTCTGCCTTCAGGCCTAGATTCGTAAGTGGGCTGAGTCTGACCAGACAGCACATTCTAGAGAAAGGACTGCTGGTGTGCATGGAATACAGAAACCTGGCTGCCCTTTCCGGAGCGCTATAAGTGCAAACCACGGATGGTATCATTAGGGCAATTTGAAAGGAATGGAACAGCTCCCCTTTCGTGTGAATTTGCTGCCTGATCTCTGAAGAGTTACGCAACCGTGGCTGGCAGCACATCTGGGAAGAAGTGCCGGGGCCTCCACTTCCAGCCATGTATTCTGGTCTCCTGCCTAGACCCCGCGGTCCTGCTGGCCCTGAGTTTTCCCAGTGTCCTCCGTGTATATGCACAAAGGCTACTATCCCGAGCTGAGGCCTCAGGGAAGCAAGAGGAGAGCCTTCTGGAATCCTGGCCCGGAGGGGACAGTGTGGTAAGACCTGGAAGCAGGCCAAACTGGACCTGAGGACCTGGGTCTGCCTCAGAGCTCTCCTGGGCTTACTGATCGTCTCTCAGTGACTTACTTTATTCTGCTGCCATTAGCCCGTAATAGACCCTTAGCCCAATAGGCCATACCCCACAGCAAGTTCTGGCTTGGAAGATAACTGGCCTTGTGTCTCTGGACCCCAGCGGCTGGACTGTGACAGGCATGCCGTCAGTTCTGCAGACTGCTGGGGCCTGAACACACGGGGCTGTTTGGTGATGCTGTCTTCTTCCTGGCAGAGCAACCTGTTTGGGGACGGGGGTCTGGGGTGGTCTTCTCTGAGCCTAACCTGGAACCACAGCACACTGGGATTTCTTCTGAAAGGGTACGGTGAGAAACGGTTAGAGTGGCTGTGTGTCTAATTGACCATGGCAGCAGAAAGTGATGAACATTATTAGCTCAGACTTAGAATTCTGCTGGAGAATTTTTGGAGAAGCATTTGTATTCCTTTTATTTTCTTAGTAAATTTCCACTTGAACGTTCCCACGAGACTTGGCTGAAGTGGAGCAAGAGGAGGAAGGACTGACAGAGCAGGGACTTAGCTGAGTACTGGGCTTCCAGCACGTTCCAGGCTGAGGGCTGAGCTGGGCGATGACGTCTGAAGCTTCCATTGTGTCTGTAGGCCCCGTGCCAGGGAGGGTTGCCTCAGGTTGTACCTGCCTCCCTCAGAGCTGTGTCTGTTTCTAGGCCCCTGAGATGGCCGTAGCTGGCCTCTTCTGCAAGTCAGCAGTCCAGCCTGAGGTTTTAGTCATGTGTGGCTGATTGATGGATGGATGGATTTACCCCCAGTACCTAGCTCAGTGCCTGGCATCTCTCAGTAAATATTTGTGAATGAATGGTTACTGACCAGGAGGACAAGATGGTGTCTGCCAAGGAGCCTCACTACAGCAAGAGCAGTGTCTGCCCCGGAGTGCCACGCCCCTGACGGCCCTGTCCCTGGCAGGTGCAGCCTGGCGGGGCTCCGTGTTTGTTCTCTGCCGACTGACCATCTGCTGCCCACGTCAGCTTGGGCTGGGTCCCCCAAACATATTGTATCAAGTTCTCTTTCTGTCATTGTCTCTCCTGTACCATCTTGATCCTTTGCCAGGGGTAGGTCCCGCTCTCCTGGCACTGTCCTGGCCACATGTGCTGGAAGGTTAGACCCAGATAAGCAGCCTGTGAAACGACAGGTGACCGTATCCCACCTTGATTCAGTCTTCTCGTGCTACAGGTTGTTGCCAGGAGCTGAGAGGCTGCAGCCTGTCCCTAGGGAGCATGGCTTCCCGAGCAGGGGCCAGAACTGAGCACACCGTGCTGATTTCGTACCCTGTGCTCCTCTGTGGCTAATCCTGAATGCCCTTCCTGATTTTTGCTAGGCCAGGAGTTTGGCGTGTTTGTGTGTGCTCGTGTGTGTGTATGTGTGCGCGTGTGTAGGTGTCTCCTCACCTAAGGTGTTCTTTTCACTATGTTGGTCTAAGGCATGTCCTGCATTCCTCGCAGATGCTACCCTCTCTGACCATGAAACTCCAGGTGTCCACGTGGCTGATGGCCTGTGTTGGTGTCCTGAGCTGCGTGCAGGCTGAATTTTTCACTTCTGTTGGTACGTGGCAGTGGGACTGTTGTCACTGGCAGCTCTCACTCGGGGCGGGATGGCTTCAGCCCTCGGTTTTGACCAGTTCTAGGAGAGTGGAACTTGCAGAGCTGCTTTTCCCCACAGCAATCCCGATCTTGACGTCCTGTGAGCCAGCTGTCTGAATTATGCCTTCCCATCTGGGACGCTGGGCTCTTTGGTCTTTTTGACCACCTTACCCCCAGGCCAAAGCATGATGAGTGCTGTATGTCCTAAGGATTTCTTAGCTCTTCTTCTCTTTCTCATCTGAGGTTTCCCAGCCCTTAGTATATCCATGCCCGGTAACAGGACCAGCTGGACAGTAGCAGGAGACTGAGATTTGGGGCTCCTGGCTTGAGTAAGCCCCTGGTACCTTTATCCCACACATCTTCTCAGCCGCTCTGCCCTTCTCTTCCTGAAGATAAACGCAGGACCGTATGAGTGCCTGGGCCCCTTTACCTCCAAATCCCCGAGGTTCCCAGAGCGCTGTTACACCCCCGGCCCAAGGGACTTGCCTCTTTGTTCATGTTTTACGCCCCAAGGAAATGGCTGACATCCCTCATCCGTCTCTAACTGGCTGTCACTTCTCTCCCGCAGGGCACATGACTGACTTGATTTATGCGGAGAAGGACCTGGTGCAGTCTCTGAAGAAGTACATCCTTGAGGAGGAAGCCAAGCTCTCCAAGCTGAAGAGGTGTCCAGTGCGCTGAGGCCCCACAGCCGGCCTGAGCCAGTCCCCTGCCCCTGCCCCAAGCCCACCCAGGGTGGAGGATAAGAGGAAGCTGGGTGGGGTGGGGCTGGCCTGGAGCTTTCTTCCTGCCAGTCTGCTGGAGTCGCTAAGCGCATGGGTGAAGGCGTGACTGTAGTTTTCCTTTCTACTGAAGATTCTTTTTATACTTACATTACGGTCCCCAGGTTTTACCTAGGTTAAGGAGCTGGAAAGACCTGTGGGAATTACTATATCCGTGCTTTATTACCTCTTTATGATGGTCAGAAGTCTCAGCAGTAACATCGCTGCAGGCCAAGAACCCGGTGGGTGGAGTGTTACTCTTCCTCTCTTTTGGTTGCGCAGTTGGGCCAGCAAAATGGAAGCCCTGACCAGCAAGTCGGCCGCGGACCCTGAGGGCTACGTAGCCCACCCCGTGAACGCCTATAAACTGGTGAAGCGGCTGAATACAGACTGGCCTGCCCTGGAGGACCTTGTTCTGCAGGACGCGGCTGCCGGTGAGCAACGGGGCGGGCGGGCCGTGCGGGTGTCCGCCTGTGCCCGGGCTGTGGTCTGGGCACCTGGGATCTGGAGCACACAGTGCAGGGTGTGAGTGGAGGCCCCGCCCGTCCTTGGCTCTCGCCCTTCCCTGTGAGTCCTGGCTGTGTTTCACACGTGTACTAGTAAACAATGTTTGCCTTTTTTTAGTGTTTTTATTCCCTCCACCATAAACACACACACACACATTTTTTGTAATGAATTTTTTTATGCTCATACTTGTTATGTATGTTTTTATAGAAACATCAGGAAACACAGACACAACCCCATATGAAAATTCTAAGTTTTATTCCAACTGCCTGGTGGTAAGCAGTGTTGAAATTATAATCTTCCTACACATGAATATACCCATTTTTAAAAAGGAGCCATGCATGTACTAGGAGATGAAAACTCATTTGCTTCAAGACAGATGAATTCAAATGAATGAAGTGGGGCTGGGTGTTGGGACCAAGGCAAGCTGGGAAGCTAAGCCCCATCTGAATTCTTCCTTTTACAAACAAAACAGATCTGTTGGTGGGTTTGTAACATAAGGGTATACTCTTCCCTCAATTTCTCAGCTTCTTCTTTTCTGAGTCGGGGGAGTAGTGGAGATTTGAGACAGGGTTTTGCTCTTAGTCCAGGTTGGCCTTGAACTTTCAACCCTCCTGCCTCAGCTTCCTGAGTACTGGGATTATAGGTGTGCACTACTACACCCAGCTCCAGCTTCTCTGTATATTATTAAAATGTTCATCCACATGATTTTAGTGGCTGGATAGTAACCTTCATACTGTTACACTGTAAAACTGGTCAAGTTATTGGACATGGGGTTGTTTCCAAATTATCAGCCGTCTTTTATGTATGCCTTGATACCTACCTCAGGTCATTTTTCTAGAGTAACCAGAAATGGTGTTTAAAGGTCAGAGTATGACTTTTAAAAAAGCTTTTCCTGCAGTAGTATTTTCTGTGCTCTAGCACTTTCCTATCGACACGCATGGTGATGGGGCAGCCCTGGAGGGAGGCCTGCCTGGAGTCCAGCCTTGTTTCAGCCCCTGCCTCGTGTCCCTGAGCTGGGAGTGCTGGTGAACCCCAGCCTAGCCGTCTCTCCGGCTGAGACGTCCCAGCCCACGTGGCCAGGCAGGGTTGGACTTGGCTGGGGGCAGCGTGGCCTCTAGGGAGGGATTGGTGAGCTCAGCCAGGCTGGAGCTGTGCCCAGTGAGCTCACTGCCTCCAGGAACCGTGGCTGCCTCCCGAGCCCCCCGCCTCCCAGGCTGGGCCTGTGGCTCAGAACAGGCCTTTCTGCCTGCTGCCGGAGCCTGAGCCTGCGCACATGGTCTCTACTCTGCCCTGTTCTCTGCACCCTCCCCTCCCCATTCACATCTGGAAAACCTTATGATTACCTGGAAGCAGATCAGACAGGCTCAGAGAGGATTAGGTTGTTTTCATCTCTGACTTTTAAATTCTTGCCCCTGAAATACGGGGTGGGACACTGATAGTGTAGAGTTTTTTTCTAGGGGGCGTGTGTTCTCTCCCTGGATTCTACACTCTTTAGATTTCCTGGCCATGAGGAAAACAAGATGACAACTTCTTGATACCTGCTGGGTCCCCAGGCTTGGCTAGAAATGGGTGTTTGAGTCTCATGTTGTAGGAGTAGGTGACAGTGGGTGCTGCTGCTCTTGGGAAAGGGCCAGAGAAGGAATGTTCTGAAGTTTCCCTCCTAATCCACGGCTCATGGACAGAGTTGAGGCCTCAGTCAGTTTGGGAGGGCATGGCCCCCACCTGGGGTCCTGGGCTTATAAGAGGTGATCTTTTGCTTGGAGTCCCAAAAAGGCCTTCTTAGGGTCAGAGACTCCCCAGGCTCCAGGCTGCGGAATTTGGCTGCGTAATCGGGGAGGTTATCCCCTCATCGTTACTCCTCAACTCCCAACTGCTAAGCAGTGTGTAGGCTGTTTCCGCTTGGTTCCAAGTGAGCAGCGCAGGCAGTGAGAAAGGAAGTTATACAAAGGGAGAAATCTTGTGATCTGGAGCCATCAGGGAGGATTTCTTGGGGAAAGGGCAAGGTTTTTGTTTTTGCAATGCTAGGGATCATACCCAGGGCTTTGTGCATGCTAGACAAGTACCCTACCACTGAGCTACCCTCCCAACATGCGCGTGCCCTTTGAGGAAGGGGCAAGGAGATTCTACTAGCGAGAGGTCGTCTAGGAGCTGCCTGTCTGGTCCCTGATGGAACTCTGCCGCTGGATTGAAGGTAACCACCTGTTCTGTCTCTCTCGGAAGGTTTTATTGCCAACCTCTCCGTGCAGCGGCAGTTCTTTCCCACTGATGAGGATGAGTCAGGAGCTGCTAAAGCCCTGATGAGACTCCAGGACACATACAAACTCGACCCAGGCATGATTTCCAGAGGGGAAATTCCAGGTAAGTCGCCACTGTACGCTTTGCCTGTGCTGTGTGCATCTCTTTGGTGGCTGGGTGAGCAGAGACCAAGTTAGGGTCTCTCGGGTGCACGGTTCCCTCCGGTGCTGACGCTTTCTTGCGTCCCTCTTTGCTATCAGTCCCGTGTCCCACGACAGCTGGCTCACTGCAGGTGTTAGCCAGAGAAAGCCAGGCTGCTGTTCAGAAGGCCCCTCGGCCTCTACCCTCAGAGCACCACAGGTGTGCGGCCAGACCCACCGCCACCCCTCCCTCCCCGGCCCTGTCCAGAGCTGCTCCGGACTCACTTTCCCCGGCCTGTGCCCGCCCCGGTCATAGTCTGTCCCCCTTTCCATTCTCTCCGCACCTTCTGGGCCCTCTTCTCAGCTGTCACTCATCCTTCCGACTTCTTCCTCAGGTCCGAGGCGGCTTTGAGTTTCCGCTGCAAGTCAGTCTTCTCTTCCCGCCTGCTTAGGCTGCTGGGTAGCGTGAGGGACATTCCGTTCTCCACTTTCCTGGCTCCTGTGTACTCCTGAACCCACAGTGTCTTGGTCCCCACTGTCCCCTGACCCGACCCCTGTGAGGCCACCAGGGACCACTGGACTGGTAAAGTCAATGGAGTAACCTCAGGCCGCTCTCTGGTCATTCATTCTTTCTCTCTCTTTTTCTTTGCTTTTGCTTAAAACCAGTCCCTCTCACCGACCGCCCCAGTGTTAGCGTTTGTAAGGCGATACACTGCTTTTGAAGGTCTGTTCAAGACCAGTAATAGCGGGGATGCAGTTGGACCCCAGTTGGGTCTTGGAAGCACCTAGCCTGTGAGAACCCCGGAGGAGACTCAAGCAGAGAGAGCTGTGATAGGCGGAAGCTTTCCTCCTCCTCAGGTATTCTGTTATTGGCTGGCCAAGGCCTGAGACCCAGGTGTGGAGGAGTCTGATGAGCTAACAGGAGGAGGTATGGACTTTTCTTTATTCCTGCCTCAGTGGCCTCTTTGAGCAAGCCATGCCTTGAGGCTACAGGGAGAAGGCAGCTCAGGGTACCTGCAAGTTCTGTTCCCCCTACAGCTATGAGACTGGTGGGTGAGAGGAGGGCCTAGACCTTCCACATTCATTGAGGGACCCATTGATGTCCTGAAGGGGGATGAGAGGGCAGAAGGACCTGCGCCCTCCTTGTGTTCACCCCAACACTTTCCCCAGTGTGTTCTTCCCATGGCGCGTCGCCTTGGCATCTATCAGTATAAGCGCTTGCTGGTGGACGTCTTTACTGGGGTGTTCCACGGGCTTCTCAAACTTCACATCCCAAACTGTTTCCTCTCCTCCCTTCCCTCTTATCTCAGCAGAAAGCATCTCCTCCTGCTGGTGGCCTGCGCCAGAATCCTAAAGCCCTTGCATCCTGCCTGCCTAATGTCTTCTATACTTGTCCTCTGTCTCTAGCCTCATGACTACTTTGTTCTCCGCTGGGTTATTAAAATACCGTTCTAAGGGCCGGGGATATAGCTCAGCGGCACAAGTGCCTGCCTGGCAAGCTCAGGGTCCTGAGTTGGATTGCTGGTACCAACAAAAAAGGGGCTAGTAAAATACCATTCTGACATGTGTCCTACCGGCAGCTCACATAAGACCTCCTGTGGCCTTACCTGTTCGCCTGAGTTCTCATCCCAGTGCTTAACTTGGAGGGCTAAACCCAGGCTCCTCCTCCTGTGTGTGGCCTTTGAGTACTGTGGCCTCCCCGACCCCCTTGCCTGTAGTTCTCAGCCTCCCTTCACTCAGTGCTTGTTCACCCGCCCCGTCTGCAGGAAGATCTAGCCCTGTCACGTGGTTGTTTCATGTCTGACTGCCCTTCAGCACTCAGCTCAACCATCATTCTCAAGGGAGTGGACGTTCGAGTTGGCATCTGGGAGCCATTCTTAACCTTCTTGGCGTCTGTGAGACACGCGATAATAGCCGCTGGTCATTAGCATCCTGGAGATCACAGGCAACGTCTTCATAGGCCATCTCACTGAATCCTTGGCACAAGGGCCTGGAAGTTCATAGTTCTGTCTCTGATTCGATGGATTTAGACGGATACCATCTCCTCCCATGTTTTGATAGGGACTGAGGCATAGGCTGAGTAAGTTGTTCATAGTCATGCAGCGGGTGGGTGCGTGGTGAGACCTGCTCACTCCTCACTCTGCAGTGTGGGGCCTCGCCCCATTCATTTGTGTTACTGTCCTCCATCAGGTAGGTCCCAGGGCCGGAAGAGATCTATGGAGGCCCATGGGGAAACTCGCTAGTCTCCCTCCAACTCCATCTTGTGTTTAATCTCCCAAACTTCCTGTCCTGCATTGTTGGTTCTGAGCCACTGGGGCAAGCAGACCCTGGTCTCTGAAGCGGATAACCCACTGCGGCAGGGGCTCCGTTCTGCATAAAGACCTCTCTTGGATATCTGGCAGGAAGCTCCCATTCTGAGGCATTTCTCTCATGCCAGCCGAGTCTGAATGGCTGTTCATTGCATCTGAGGGAGACTCCTGTGCCTTCCAGAGAGGGTCTCGGACCTCTTTCTTCCCGTAGGATCTGCTTTCTGAGTCTCCAAGGAACACACACACACACACACACACACACACACACACACAGTCCTTTCCGTCTGGAACCTATCCTAGTCCCTGCTGCTTGCCACAGCCAACGAGCCATGGTCACAAGGCCTGCTGAGCTGGTGCTCACCGAGGCTCCCGTTACCTCACAGCCTTGGCTTTTGCCTGCCCCGGTGTCTGTCACTCCACGCCTGCTCCCTCTGTTTCCTCTACCTCCTAGTTTCTTCCTGGTGTGACTTGCTCTGTTGTGTAGGTGCTCCCTGGGGCATCAGCCTCTGCCCGCTGTCTGCTCTTTCCTCAGACCTTCTCTGCAAGCAGTTATTCTCACCTCGGCTTTTGGTGCCTCCTGCGTTCTGTTTTTTTTGTACGTTCTCTGGACTCATGGTCAGCTGCCAACTACACATCTCTCTTACACTGTCCTCAGTATGACTACTGGGTGGACGTCACTAGCTCCCCGTGACAAAGCCTTTCCCACCTGGGGAAAGGCGAGTCTAAAGCTAGGGGATCGGCTATGAACCCAGGGCAAGACCAACCTGTCCGCTCACTGCGTCAGCGGCACTCCAGGTGTGTGGTCTGAGGCCCTGGCAGGGTTCTGGTTGGATAATGCCTCCCTTCCAGGGGCTGGACTTTCCCCCTAGCTCCCTGGAGCCTGACTCTTGGCTTCTGCTGCAGGCACCAAGTACCAGGCAATGCTGAGTGTGGACGACTGCTTTGGGATGGGCCGCTCAGCCTACAACGAAGGAGACTATTATCATACGGTGCTGTGGATGGAGCAGGCGCTCAAGCAGCTTGATGCCGGGGAGGAGGCCACTGTAGCCAAGTCCGAGGTGCTGGACTACCTTAGCTACGCTGTCTTCCAGTTGGGTGACCTGCACCGTGCCCTGGAGCTCACCCGCCGCCTGCTGTCCCTTGGTAAGGAGATTAGGAAGGTAAGATGAGGATGGGGGAGACCAGCAAGGGATCTGGAGTCTGTTGGTTATGCTGCTTGATCCTGCTCCTGGGGCTGAGTCAGTTTTTCTCACTTGACCTCTAACTCATTTGTTAATGACTTCAGATCCAAACCAACTGCCAACTACCTCCTTACCACCCAGTCCTGGCGTAGCTCTTGCCCAGTTGCTCGTGGGTATACCCAGGCCCGTGGTGCCCACCTGTGCCGCCTATGGGCCTACGTGCTCCTTTCTTAGTAAGGACTTAGTGCAGCGGTGCATCCAGGACTGTGCAGTGCAGCCTTCGTCGTGCTGGGAGCAGCTTGAGAGGCAAGCTGTACTTCAGGGAGGCCGCGGGGGCGGTGACCCAGCTATTACGTTAGTGCCGCAGTCCAAGAGCAGCACCTGCCGTGCCTGTGTTACTTACAATGTGGGACTGAAGGAGGCCAGAGCACTGTGCTTTTACAGCCCGTCTGTTGTAAACAGAAGCAGTAACAATCTCTTACTAAAGTACGAGTGTGTCATTACCAGCAGAGACTTTCTTATGCTGCTGTGTTCTGCAGGGCCCGAGTCTGGTGTCAGGTAGCCCGTGACCAGTGTGAGGGCTTTTTCAATTCCATCGAGTGAGTTAGTAAGGGCCCTGGCCAGGGAGTCAGGAGACCTCAATTCCTATTCTCCGTAACATCAATTTAAGTCACTTCTCCAAGGAGTGGGACCGAAATCCTGCCATGCCTGCTTCTTAGGATGCTGGGATAGCCTCAGATAGAGCTGTGAATAGTCAGCGTCTCAGCTCGCCTCGTAGCTGTGACCAGCGTGTGGCAGGGCCACCAGTGAGAGCTGCTTTCCAGGGAAGGGCTGCAGGGGGCACAGAGCCAGCTGTGAGGAGGACACAGGACTCAGCACTGCTGCTTGGACCTGGAGCCTTGGGGCCCCCTGGGCTGCCTGAGAAGGAAGTCCCCCAGGTGGCTGCGAGGTGTCCCCGGCTTTGAGGATGTTCCCCTCTCATTTGTGACCGAGGTAGGGAGAGCCTCCGCCGGCCTCTCAGCTCTGGCCAGCACGCCCTGGCAAGGTGCTGCACACAGCAGAATGTCTCATACAGGCGGGCTGCTGCGAGAGTCACCAATTACAGAATAATTCCTCTAAATGACCTAACAGATGTTTGCGGTTTCCTTTCCCTTCTTGTTCTTTGCTTTTGCTAGACCCGAGCCATGAGCGAGCTGGAGGGAATCTGCGGTATTTTGAGCGGTTGCTGGAGGAAGAAAGAGGAAAACCATTGTCAAATCAGACAGAAGCAGCGCTCGCAGCCCAGGAAGGCGTCTATGAGAGGCCGGTGGATTACCTGCCCGAGAGGGAGGTGTACGAGAGCCTCTGTCGCGGGGAGGGCGTCAAGCTGGTGAGGCGGGCTGGGTTCCCCGGGCTGTGGTGGATTAGGGGGTCAGTCCTCTGTCTGTGGGTGCCTCTCTTAGCCTCTCCTCCAGTTGCTGGGGATAACACTGTAAAGTTACAATGACAGAACATTGCTGAGGCTGAGGCATAGAATAGGAGGCGACTTCCCCGGTGCCCCAGGTAGAATTCCAGCCCCTTGGGTAAGTGGGAAGAAAGCCGGTGTGGGGAAGACGCAGCGCTTCCTGGACCTGGTGTGGGTGTTGCTGGCTTTTGAGAGCCCAGATCCCAGGGTCTACTCACAGAGGCCGGGCCGTGAGGCCTTTTCACCCCGCTCCCACGGCTCCTCGGTGGAGAGGCTTCCCCCCAGTTCCCTTCAGGCCTACTCGCGTCTCTGTGAAAGGGTCTGGAGTACCCCGTGCCCGGGAATTGTGGGCCTGAGGTGATCCTGCGGGAGAAGTAACACTGCATGGGGTGGAGCCTTCATGCCAGTCGAGCTGAGGGGTTGTCGTGTTCTCCTGTGGCAGCAGCTGCTGGTCATGGGGGAGAGACCAGCGCCTGCGGACAGCTGGGCTGGGGCCGAGGGTCAGGATCCACTCAGCTCAGGGTGTGCTGCTCTGTGCTCCTTAGACACCCCAGAGGCGGAAGAGGCTGTTCTGCAGATACCACCACGGCAACAGGGCGCCGGAGCTGCTTATTGCCCCCTTCAAAGAGGAGGATGAGTGGGACAGCCCGCGCATTGTCAGGTACTACGAGGTCATGTCGGACGAGGAGATCGAGAGGATCAAGGAGATCGCAAAGCCCAAGGCGAGTATCTCAGCGGGTCCTCCCCCGGCACCGCAGGGCAGTCCTCGTCTCTTCTCCGGCACTGTGGGATGCTCCTTTGCTGACGCAGTCTCTATCCCGGCACTAGTGAGCTACACTGCGGGGCTCCTGAGACACCGCAGACTCGGCCTGACCTCCTGGGCTCACGGTCCGGCAGGGAATTAAAATGAGGGAAGCGATGCGGACAGCCAGGTGCGGTGGTTGCGGATTGAGAGGGGAGCAGGTCAGGCTCCCAGTGAGAAGTGTTTGTTCGCTGGCTGGAGCCTGGTGTGGGAAGAGTTTTCAGACAGGGGCCGCAGTATGCCGTGAAGCTGGGTCCTGTGCCACTGTCCTGAGGACCACGGATGTCGTGGCAGGCTCAGGAGAACGTGTCTGTACAGCGGGGAGTCTTCTCACCCTGGAGCGGCCCAGGCCTCTATCTATTCATTTCTTTCATTTTTTTCCTTATTGACCTTGCACATTTCTTCTTAAGTCTATCCCTACATAGTTTATTTTTGTTTCTGTAACTTTACTCTGTTTTTTCGTATTTAAAGTGGTTAGTTTATTATCCTTAGCCAAGTTATTGATTTTAACATATCTCAGTAACAGCTGATTTTTGGTGAGTTTTTAAGTGTGGCTGACCTGTCTTAAGTGCTAACATGTATTAACTGTTACATTTATGCAGCAGCTGGGTCACAGGGAGAGGCTGAACTGACCTTGTCCATTTGTGTTTTTTTGCTGATTTTCTTGGGTTGCCCAGATAGTATTATCATCTGTAAATAAGGAAAATTTTGTTTTTTCTTTCCTCATACCTGTAGTTCCTTTGTGCTTATTGTCTTACTGAGCTGCCCAAAACTTCTAAAGCATTATCACAATAAGCATCTTTATCTTATTTCTGAGTTTCCTGGACATTCTTCTGGTATTTTCCTGTTAAGTATGCACTTGGCTGTTGGTTTTATATATATGGCATATTATATAAGTATTTTTGTTTCTGTTCATAGAAGATTTGCTGTCATTTACTGTATCTTCAACTCCTTCTTTTAATTATTATTTTTTATTTGAGACAGAGTCTTACTAACTTCTTCAGGCAGAGCTTGAATTTGCAGTCCTCCTGCCTTGGTCTCCCAGAGTGCTGGGATTACGGGCGTGCACCACCACGCCTGGCTTAGCTGGATTCTTTATTGCTCTTCTCCTAAAAGAACTGTAGTGGCCAGGCTGCCTAGCGCTCCTGGAGAGACCTCACCTTTGAAACGACCTTGGCGTAGGTCCCTTAGGGTTGATTGTTGGCATCACTGACGTAGCCCAGGAGGGTGGAGAATGGTGACCCTCCTTCCACTCTCAGGCTGGGCTCCAGAGTTCTCCAGGGAAGAAAACTACTTTTCTGGTTTTCTAGGTGAGGGAGGCGCTATCATACCAAAATCTCCTGAGGTGTTCCTTACCTGTTGTCACTCAGTCCCGGGCACCGAGAACCTGTGTGTGTGTGTGTGTGTGTGTGTGTGTGTGTGTGTGTGTGACAGGGTGAGCTTTGGGAAAACTTGTCTTTGAACAGAAGCTGTGGGAAGAGCCAGACATGCTGACTGTCATCAGCTGACCTCCCCTTTCCGGAGGCTGTGAGGGACAGATGCTATTCTGGCTTTGAAGTGAGGCCAATGGGCTTAACTTGGCCTGTGGGGAATGTCTGGCAGTCGCCTGTGGGTCCCGAGGCCTCTTTCAGAATAGCTCTGCCTGTCCCCAAGAGCAGAGTGCAGCTGCCTGGAGCCTTTTCTGTGGGCACCAGGCCATTGCCGAGGCCCAGCTATTTAGACGGGGTCCTTCTGTGGCAGCTGTCATCGTCGTCAGGGAGGACCCGTATTCCGCTGAGCCCGGGAAGGGCCCCCAGATCAGGTCATCTGTCCTGGGGCTGCTGGCTGCCTCATTAGAATGTATTGTAGCAGCGCAGCGTCCAGGTGGGCCGATGTCACAGCCAGCAGGACTCCTAATCTCACGCCTCGTCATTCCCCAGTCACCTCCTGGCCCAGGCTGCTGAGCCCTGCCCTGACCTCTGGTGGGCCTCCTCTCCAGCACTGCTGTTCCCACTCCAGTCCCTGCAGGGTCCGCACTCTCTAAGGTCTCCACAGTGATCCTCCTGGCATTTAGTTGCGACCCATCGCCGTAAAGTCTTCGTTGTTTCCACTGCTGTGAGGTTGCAGGAGCCCCCAGCCCGGCCGTGTCTTCAGGCTGTTCCTGTCTCGCTACTCTGCATGACCTTTGCTCCGCAGGCAGTGCCTACGCCAGGCTCTGCATCACCGCTCCCGCCCTGTGTCTGCCGTGTCTCCTGCTGGACTAACTCCTGTTTACCTTTCAGATCTCAGCTAGGTGGCCCCCTCCTCTAGAAGAACGTTTGACTGAGTTTCTCTGGGACACGAAGCTCACCGATGCTGTGCTACTGTTAGCTGGCTGGTTTTCTGCCCTCCCACTTGGCTGAGTTGGAGGAGAGCCAGGGCCATGTCTCAGCCACCCAGCATAGTGCCAGGTCCACGGTGGGCACTTCCCACATCTTGATGGAAATCAAGGGGAAGCGCTGTTCAGGTGGGGAGGTCTAGGCCTGTGGTCACCCATGGGAGACCACTAGGACAGTCCTTGGGTGCTGGCTCTAGGCAGTAGGTCCCTCCTCTTTTGGAAACTGGGGAGATAAGACGATGGGGGTGCACACGTGTGTGTGTGTGTGTGTGTGTGTGTGTAAGAGTGTGCATGTGTGGGTGGATGGCTTCCAGGTGGTGGTTCACCTGGGGAATTCTTCTGTGCTTTTGTCACATGATGTGTGAGGCTCCCAAGGAGGAGAGAGAGCTGTGCTGCCTTTCGTCCTTGCGGCAGCGGGATCCCAGGGCGAGGTGGTGCGGCGGGAGAGTGTGTGGACGGGTTGGAGGAGGCCACAGCGGTTCAGGAGGATGGTGTCGCTTCGCCTACGCAAGGGAAGCACAGAAGTTGAGGCTCGGGGATGGTGAATGGGCATCTGGTGGGCACAGCCAGCCTCAGTGGCGTGTGGGACTGCAAGGGAGGGCGCTGATCAGGAAGATGCGTGGATGGGTAAAGGAGAGACATGAGCACAGTGTGCGGACAGCGCGGACCTGGGTAGGAGGAAAGACGAGAATGCCAGCGGGGGTGAGTGGCCAGAGAGGGAGTACGGCAGCCTCCAACTCCTGCTCTCATCTGACCTCGGGATGGATTTGTTTCATCTGTACTGCTAGTTCCCTCCGTTTACTGAAAAGAAGGTGTTGTGCTATTATCTGTTTGTTTCTTTCTTGTTAGAACCTTCTGTTGTCTGTGTCTTGTACTCTGAGTAACTACTTTGATGTAACGATACCCTGTGTGTTAACTATTCTTAGCTGTTTTATTTTCATATAAAAAAAGGATGACAGGGTCTTGGCTCGAGCCCTGACATACAAAGCTGCTTCCCCCACTACTGTGGCCGGCAGATCTGCTCCCCGTGCCGTGTGGGAAACACACGAGGCTGGAAAGGTAAGTCTGCCTTTTCTTCCTGACTTCCAGCTGGCACGAGCCACTGTGCGTGATCCCAAGACAGGTGTCCTCACAGTCGCCAGCTACAGAGTTTCCAAAAGGTAAGCAGAGGTGGTGCTGGTGGGTGCCTGCCCGAGTCCCAGCTCCAGAGCGTGTCGGGAGGGTGGCAGACTTACCCCTGAGCCCTCGTCTTCTTGTCGCGCTCACCTGGCCTTGATGTTGGGAGGAGAGCGCAGGACCTCGTCTAAGCCTGCCTTCCCCGCTGTCTCTGCCCTCTTCTTCCGCTCCAGCTCCTGGCTGGAGGAAGAGGACGACCCTGTCGTGGCGCGGGTGAATCGTCGGATGCAGCACATCACAGGGTTAACAGTAGAGACTGCAGAATTACTGCAGGTATGGCTGTCCCTGGGACTGTCGGAGTCCGGGAGCGGGGTGTCTGTCTAGGTGGCCCCCCAGCGGGGGAAGGCTGGCTGATAACTGTATAGCTGCACAGTGCTGTGGATATGGGGAGATCCCGTCGTGGGGAACCAAGATTAACCATGCCTGCCACGTTCAACAGTTTAGCGCTCCATGCGTCAGCCGAGCGTTTACTGTGTGCCCAGTGAGCCAGGGGCGACAATCAGTGGCGGCCTGGCAGGCGCATTCATGTCTTCGGATTTCAGAAGCTCAAATGCTGAATTGTTCCAGGGGCTCTCTAAGCAGGCTAAAAATCCCTCCGGAGGTTGTGGTTCTGTGTCACAGTCAGATGTGCCTGCGATGCGGTGAGGTGTCCCGTTGCTCGGACAAGAGGCCTGGACCGGCTGTCTGCTGGAGGTGGATGCTCTTGTCCGAGCGCCCCCGTGGGGGCCCTGGCTTCCTGCTTTGGTGTCAGAGGTGACCGTGGGGAAGCATGGCAGTGCCGTGGTGAGGGGAGGCTTGGGGGGCTCCATCACCATGTGTCCCGGTGCTGGCTGTGCGCACTCCTGAGCATCAGGACTTCTGGGTTCTCCTGTAAAACTGGTGTCCTGACACACCGTCAGAGGAGGTTCACAGGCATCTTTGTAGAGCCCTCTGGATCTCCCGGGGCAGAGTTTCTGTATATTTAAGATAGCAGCTATCACCTTTAGACCTGGCATCTGGGTCTGGACAGCTGTAGCTCTCCTTAGGATACTGACTAATGGTGATTTGGGAAAGAGTGACTGACCTTTTGTCTGCGCACATCCAAGCAAACCAGCACGCCTTCTTTCTCTTTAGGTAGCTGCGTCTCCAAGCAGAAAATCAGTTTTGAAGGCTGTTGTTACGGATGTGTGTGAAGCCCGCCAGAGTTCAGAAACAGGCTGGTTACCTTGAAAACAGTGTTGCGGACATGTTAAATAATTGTTTAGCTCAGCTTAGCGTAGTGTCCTCTGACGATTTCCGACACGTTCTGCATCTCTGGAGGACTTCTGCTTCGCCTCCCGCTCGCCTTGCTGCCGTGTCATCCCTCTTGGCATTGTCTTGAATCACACCTTCTTGGAGCCATTTTGGTTTTTCTCACAATTAATTTTTTGGTTGTTTTAAGACACCAGCCACTGCTTCTTTCATGCCAAAGCCCGTGCTGAGGGCCCAGGAGAGCAGCTGGCTTGGCTGATGGTTGCACACCCCGAGCGTGGGGATGAATAGCCAGGACCTGTCCCCCTTGCTTTCCTGGCTAATGTCTCAACTGCCTGTCCCCCCGTCTTACCTCAGCCTCAGAAGACAGCAGCTTCTCTGCTCCAGCCTTGGCTTCCTCCTGTCAGGCCTGTCCACCGACTGGTGTCTGAAAGCACGAATTCTCTGGGGAGGGGCTCTCACTGCCTGGTGGCTGAGACCCCACTTTGTTTGCATTTTTCCTCTGGGAACGGCCTCGGCGTTTCCTTCGCCAGCCAGTAGTGTTGTGAAGGTTTTGCTCTGGGGAATGGGACCCTGGCTTTCAGCACCCGTCCCTGGTGCCCGCTCCGCAGGGCCTGCTCGCAGTGTCATAAAAGCCCGGGCACCAGCAACAGCCCTCACGCCGGGCCTCTTTGGGAACGCGGCAGGCTCTGGAAGGGAGCTGCAGCTCATGCTTCCTGTCAACACTCTTCCAGCTCTGGTGGATGTCTGCTGCACACCTCTGGGAAGAAGGGCGATTGAGGCTTTCTTGTGAATTGGCTGAGGGCCTGTCTGATAAAGGAGATGCTGCGCTTCTATAGTTCACTAAGATTTAAGAATACTGGCTCAAAGATGGCTCAGCCTCACAAGGAAGGTGACTTTCTTTCTTTTTTTTCTCTCTCTCTGTTTCTTTCTTTTTTTTCTTTTTGAGACAGGGTTTCGCTATGCAGTGCAGGCAGGCCTTGAACTCACTTTATAGCCCAGGCTGACCTCAAACTCGCAGAGATCCTCTTGCCTCAGCCTCTTGAGTGCTGGCATTACAGGTGTGTGCTGCCATGCCTGGCTTAGAAAAGTGATTTCTAACCCTTGTATTTTTTTGCCTTCACTGGACATCAGCATCAGGAATACCCATGTCTTTCAAATGACTGACTGTCCTGTAGCAACTAAAGTATAAAGATAGAAATGAGTATCTCCTCGTGGGAATCAGTTTTGACATACAGTTGCTTCTTGTTAAAGATGTTAGTCTGGGGGTTTGAGTGTGTCTGGGTGATGAATCTGACTGCTGTGAAACCAGGTCCCATGGCTTTTGTACTTATTTGGGGACATTGTTGAGGGCAGATGCAGTGAGTTTAGAGTCATAATCAAACCATTGAAAGGTGAGCCAGCTATAGCAGCGCAGCTTCTTTCACTGGCGGGGATCTGAAAGTGTGAGCAGTCTCTCCAGCGAGTGCTAGAAAGCAGGCATACTTTGAAGCCCTGGCCACAAGCAGCGACTGAGCTTTGCTGAATGCTGTGGCAGACTAGGCGTGCTCACTCCTAAGGTTTTCTTCAAGTTCTGGACCAGAACAGATGTCTTTGTGAAAGCATTTCTGATAGGACTTTGTGATCTGTCCTGCCTGGCATTTCCTTTCTTACATTGTCCTCCAGCCTGGCAGCCACCTGCTGCCCCGCCCGTTTGTCCTGTTGGCGGGAACTCACGTGCCTTCAGTGCAGGAATCTCGACGGCTGACGCAGCAGAGATGACAGCGTATTTTCATCCCCTGGTTCTTCATATCAAAATTTGGATTTGTGTAGGCTCTGAGGATAATCATGTCCAACTTCGCATTTCTTCATATTTGGCAAATATTTGTGCAACAAGAGGATTTCCTGTCTTGTAGATTCGCTGGCCCTTTTTCTCCCATAATTAAAGGCATCCATTATTGCCAGTTTTTAGCATCTCTTACCTGACGATTGGGATTGCCACAAAGAACATACAGAAAAATGCCGTCTTTCTGGGGTTCTTGCAAAGCACAGCAGCCAGCTCCTCCTGGTACACGGGTGGTACCGCTTGGTTCTTCAGCTTCTGTGTCCTGTCCTGCTCTCTCTCTTAAACCTCGTCTCTCGCTGGATCTGCTGTAGCCAAGTAACCATTGCGATTTAGTACAGGACATTGCACTGTAAGCTTTCTCGAAGGCATTGACAGTTTCCAGCCTTATTATCGACACTTGGTGGTTGCCAAAGCCGCTGCTTATTATAGATCTAGGTGCAGTCTGGGGTGGTGAGGCAGTGTAGCAGTTCTGGGCCACCCAACCGCTGGCTGCCCTTTCTCTGCCGCTTTTCTTGGATGCAGAAGTACTCCCTGCAGTGGACCCTGCAGGAGGGGAGGGTGGGGTATACTTGCCCCACTCAGCCTGACTATAAACAGGTGCTGAGAGACAGTGTCAGGAGCAGTGCCAGATACTGAGTAGGTACAAAAGTAGTATTTAAAAAGAACAGTCTCAAGCCTGGTGTGGTATGATACATGCTTGTACTTCTATTACTTGGTAGGCTGAGGCAGAACCATCTCTTAAACCTATGAGTTCAAGTCTAGCCTGGGCAACATACCAAGACCCTGCCTCAAAAAAACAAAAACAAAAACACTAAGTCTTGCAGTTAATGTGAGTTTCCCTCAGGACCACCTTCTCATTATCTCCCAAACAGGGCCTAGGCCAGGGCTTGCCCCGAGAAGGGGCCCCTTAGCAGGGCATGGTGTGCCTGTAATCCCAGCACTGGGGAGGCTGAGGCAGGATTGTGAGTTCCAGGCCAGCTTGTGCTGCATAGCAAGACTCTCTCAAAACAATGAAGGAAAAAAAAAAAAAAAGGAGAGGACAAAGAAGAGGAGACGGCTTCCTCCGCTGCTGCTGCCTGAGGACAGTCACTCGTCTTCCGTTGGACAGCACGTCTGTGCTGCCGCCTTGCTCTCTGACCCGGCTGTGGAGATGCTTGCTGCCCTTGTGCCCCTGTGCCGGCAGGTGCGGTTACCTCCACTGCAGAGAGGCTGCTGTTGGCTGTGCTCGTCTTCAGGACGAGGGAGACGGTACCCGTGGGACGATGGGTGCTGTGGGCCCTTCCTGCTCTGACAAGGTCCGTGCTGTTGTTTCTCGCCAGGTCGCAAATTACGGAATGGGAGGACAGTATGAGCCGCACTTTGACTTCTCCAGGGTAAGGCCCAATCTCAGGCGCCATCCAGGGGCCCTTGCTGGTGCCTGGGGAAGGCTGGGGCTCCGCCTCCTGCCTCACCAGGGAAACCGTTTATTGCTGGTGAAGCCCACGTCTGGACCGCAGGCCCTGGGCAGCCTGGTGGAACCTGGTGATTGCCCCTGCCCCAACACTGGAGCTCTTTGCCCGGATCCTAAAGCAGAGGCCCTCACGAGGTCTTCGTGAGAATTTTCCTGTACTCCTTCCCTTTCCCCGGGCCGTAGGCAGAGTTCCCACTGTAGCCCTGGTCCGCGCTGCGGCTGTCTTGTGGAGCGCACGCTTACTGGCTCCCCCCGACCCGGTGGGCCCCAGTCCTTTGGGTGGTGGGCAAGGTGCTTGCAAACGTGGGTGAAAGTTGTTGTCTATTGCAGCGACCTTTTGACAGCGGCCTCAAAACGGAGGGGAATAGGTTAGCGACGTTTCTTAACTATGTAAGTATGGGGTCCAGGCCCATCTGTTCCCTCTCCCTTAATTTTATAGAACCATGAGCGAGATGCTTTCAAGCGTTTAGGGACTGGGAATCGTGTGGCCACATTCTTAAACTACGTGAGTATGCTGCGTGCGGCTCATGGGCTCTGAGGGGACCGTGGGTCCAAGGGCTCTCTTTCCCGCCCCGTCGGGCGGAGGACCACAGCTGCTGTGGAATGAATGGAGCCTCTGTCCCTCGGCACTTTTTGGCAGAGTGGAGCGAGCCGGTGCGTGGTGCTGTCTGGGTAGCCTTCCATTCACCCTCCCACCAAGACTGTCCCTGGCTGCTTTTGTTTCCAGCTTTTTAAATGTGTTGTAAAATACACATAACATAAAATTTACCACCTTAACCATTCTAAAGTGTAGTTCGGTAGCATTACATGTACTCGTAATATTAACATAACCATCTCTCGCATCATCAGCGTCACTCTGCTCATCTTGTGAAACTGGAGCTCTATTCCTGTTAAGCAGTAGCTCCAGATTCCCCTCCCCAGCCGCCGCTCTCCGGTCAGCCTCTGTGATTCGGTTGCTCTCACCGCAGAGCCTCTTGTGCGCAGAATCACAGAGTACTTCTCTTCCTGTGACTGGCTTATTTCCCTTAGTACCACCCTGTCAAGGTTCACCCGTGTTGCAGCACGTTCTGCCAGCTTCTTGACGGGCCCGTTCTCTCTTCCAGCAGATTAGTGCTGCTGTTTTAATATGTAGATCTCTGATCCATTTTTATTTTAGTGTGGTGCATGGTGACAGACATGGGTCTAGCTTTAGTCTGCAGTGTGTGGAAAGCCAGTCTTTCCAGAACCGTTTAGGTGTGTGGCTCCTTGTCAGAGATAAGGTGGCTGAGTGTGTCCGGAGTTGTTGCTGCCTCTTCTAATCTGATCCACTGATTCTCAGGTCTGTTTCTTTGCCACTACGGCGCTGACTTTTTCACAGTCGCTCTGTAGTCTAATTTCAAGTCAGGGACTGTGATGCCTCCTGCCCTGCCTTTGTTGCCTAGAATTGCCTTTGCTATTCCAGGTCTCTTCTGTTTCCAAATAAATTTTAGGAATATTTTCTCTAGTTCTGTGAGGTGTGCTATGGTATTTTGATTGGGATTAAATCTGTATAACATGGAATCTATATAGCATTAAATCTATATAACAATTTGGGAGTATGGCCATTTTAAAAGTGAGGGTTTTACCAGAGCAACGAGCTGCTAGATCCAGAAAAACAACTCTCTCGGGGGTTTGCGGGGAGAGGATACCTGGTTTTTTTTTGTTTTGTTTTGTTTTTTTGGTTTTCTGTTTTTTTTTCTGGTACCAGGAATCAAACTCACGACCTTGCACTTGCCAGGCAGGCACTGTGCCACTGAGCTGAATCCCCAGCCCCAGGATACCTGATATTAGAAGCAGCAGGAAGCTCCTGGTCAGGGCAGTTTGCTGGGCACAGCGGCTTAGGCAGGGTCCAGGCTGGAAAGGGACTGCAGGGCCAGGGCCAGGGTATGCGTTTCCTGAGTTCCGGCTCAGGTTGTTCCATTCAAGGAGGGCCCCTGTGTGCGTTGTGGGCCTCAGCTCTGAAAGCCCGCAGCATGGAGACTGTCCGGCCGGGCCACACAGGCCAGGCTGGGAGTGAGAAGGGCCTTCCTGGCTGAGGGGCTGGCCATGGGGCAGAGGCTCCGAGGTGCTCATGCTCCGAGGATGACCATCCGCACACCATGTCACAGCCTTCGGGCTCGGTGGGTCTGAGACCCTTGGGCAGAGGGGCCAAGCTCTATGCCTTGTGTATTTCCAGATGAGTGACGTAGAAGCTGGTGGAGCCACCGTCTTCCCTGACCTTGGAGCTGCACTTTGGCCCAAGAAGGTAAGTTCTGAGTCACGTATCAGAACAGGGCTCAGAGCTTGTCCGTGTCCCTCCGTCCCATTTCCCTGACTGTCGCTGTGATGTGAGCCCTTCCTGCACGCACTGTGGGTTTGTGTTTCAGCTCCTACCTGGGGAGGAGTGGGGAGGGAGGTCCCTTCAGGGGTGGGTGGACGTCTAAACCTCCCAGTAACCAGGAAGGGAGGTACTTTCTGGAAACCTCTCTGTCAGTAGAGTCCCACAGCCCTGTTTCCTGTGCACAGGAAAGTGAGGATTTTTCTGCTTAGGGCGGGGTTCCTTGTGCCTGTGGTCTGGTCTCAGCCTGCTCTCTGAGGAGGTGTTCTGATAACCTTCTTCCCAGGGCACAGCTGTATTCTGGTACAACCTTTTGCGGAGTGGAGAGGGCGACTACAGAACGAGGCATGCGGCCTGCCCCGTGCTGGTGGGCTGCAAGTGGGGTGAGTGGCTTGGGGGTGGGGTTGGCCATGGTGGTCTCAGCCTGGCTTTGATGCTTGGCTTTAGATTTAGAGCTGGCAGACAGCTGCTGCCAAGTTTGTGCACCGCCATGACTGTCTCCCTTCTAAGGTTTTTTTCTGCTCACTGATCTGTCGTCCAATCTGCTCAGCTGCTTCCGTGCCGAGACAGCTGGTTAGGAACTCTCGGCGGTGCCCAGGGAGCTGAAGAAGCCCCGGACGGCAGCGTATGTCCAGGGAGGCCGTAGGAGGAGTGAAGGAGCAGGGCCTGGCAAGGGTTCTGAGGGTGCAGAGGACAGAGCTACAAGCAGAGAAGGGCAGGGCTCTCCCAGGCGGGCAGAGCCCCGCGGAACGAGGCACAGGCCACGGTAGGTGTGGTGCTGAGGGCCCTTGTCACGCAGAAGGGAAGGTCTGTGGTGTAGAGACCAAGAGGTGAGGCTGGAGGGTGGCCCCGGGCTCCAGAGGCCGAAGCTTGAAATTGGCCTTTTATGCGGCTACGGTGAGCCGCAAGAGGGTGGACCGAGGGTGCGACGGGAAGTAGTCAAACCAGCGTAAAACCCTTGGAGTTTGAGGGGTGAGTAGTGATGGCTTTACAGAAAATTAAGCAGATGAAGAAGAAGACGAGGTAGTGACTGATTTGGTAGCCAGAGCAGCTGTACAAGAAGAAAATTTGAGTATAATCTAGATGGCTCAGCATTAAAGCGACATAATGATATAAATACTCCACATTAATTTCAGCTAAGATTTATTATTTAACTGCGTATACTGTCATAAACCTTGTAGGCATTTTGTCCAGTGTTAAATGCATGTGTACTTTAAAATCTGTGTGACTTCAGAAGTACATGAAGGTAGTTTCGTACCCACTGTGAGAGACCCTGTGTTCAGGAAGAGTACCCTGTCTCACATGTGCTTGGGACTTAGCTTTAGGTGACCCCACTACGCCGGCCCTGCTTTTCTCTGTAAGTTGTATCCCCGGGGCCCACAGGGTCTGGGGTGTAAGGCTGGACCCCCGCAGTGCTGGCAGGCTCCCCCTCCCTGCCTCTGTTTTTATCTTCCGGTCATGTCAGGCTTCTTGAGTCAGAGTGGTCCCTGCCTTGATGACTTCCTCACCCTGGTCCTACTTGCCGCAGCCCCCCTTGGTGCGGCAGCCATCTTGGCGTCTTTGTGTGTCTGTCTTCCTCCCAAGATTCCGTGTGTCCAGCCTCATAGTCCAGGCCCGAGGCCGCCTCCTCCCTAACGTGGCTCAATGCCCTTGGGCTCTGTTCCCATGGCAGCTTGGACATGTGCGTCAGGCCCCTCGTAGGATTTTGAACACTTACCTGTCCTGGCGTGTGTCTTCTCGGCAGTTCCCGAGCAGCTGGAAGCCGAGTCCGTGTCTCACTCAGGCCTGTTTCCCGCAGCACGGAGCAGGGCCATCAGGTGCAGTCATTAGTTTTGCTGCTTAGCTGCCCAGCGGGGGTGTAACATACTTACTTTCTGTTCACAGTCTCCAATAAGTGGTTCCATGAACGAGGACAGGAGTTCTTGAGGCCTTGTGGATCAACGGAAGTTGACTGATGTCCTTTCCTGCCCTTCCCCTTCCTGGCCCCATGCCTCAAGTCATCTTCAAGTTCAGCGCAACAGACACCTTTCTGCTCCTGTCAGGCAGGGTGTTGGAGGAGTCAGTGTTTGTCTGGAGTGGGCGAGTCCAGTGTGCCCCGGGTCCCAGCCTCTTCGTCAGCTGTGTCACCCCCGGCTCCAGGAGCAGCACTGGAGCGGCTGCAGTAGAGCCAGGCTGCCCTGCACCCCGGAAGGTGCCTCTGTACCTCAGACGACGTCGGTGAGAGATGTTTCAGTGAACCAAAGTTCTGATACCTTGTTTACATGTTTGTTTTTATGGTGTTTCTGTAAGTTGTGGCTTAACCAGAAAATAAAATGTCCTTGCCAGAAGCCTTAAAGAGCCTTACTTGGAGTATTTTTTTTAAGACCTGAGAGCTGTTGCTGTATTCAGTAGACTGTGTGCCTGGAGTGCGTCAGTGGTGAATCCCTGGCGTTGGGTTCTAGACCTGATTCTAACCTCTGTCTCTCCAAGCTTCAGTGTCCAGGAAACCGGGGATAAAAGATGTCTTCTTTTTTGTTTTTGTTTTTCTTTTTGAGACAGGGTCTCGCTATGTAGTTCAGGCTGCCTTGAGCTCACTTTGTAGCCCAGGCTGGTCTCGAACTCACAATAGTCCTCCTGCCTCAGCCTTCCGAGTGCTAGGATTACAGGTGTGCGCCACCATGCCTGGCCAAAAGATGTCTTCTTGTCTCCCAGAGAATGCAGAGTGCCTGAATGGTCGTGATTGTGATGCTGCTAATACTTGGAAATTCTTAAAATTTGAGATCTCCACAGAGAATTGTTTATGGCACATACAGTACTTCACGCAGGCTTGTCTAGACCGCTCCCTGTGTACAGCCCAGGACGATGAAACTTTGAACCTTCTTATGTGATTTTTAGCAGTAGTTTTCCTGGCCCAGCTGAGTGGTGCCCCAGTGCGGACTTTGCAGGCAACGGTGTCATGCTGTGTAAGGGAGAGCGTGGTGCAGGGCTGGCTGCCCTCCTCCGCCCGCCACACACAGTCAGTCAAAGCCACAGCGCTCTCATGCATGTGTTTGTTCGCCTTGGCAGGTAAACTGCAATTATGGATAATAATATTTTGTTCTATGTGCATGTGTGCCTCTGAAGACAGGTATGCCTTGGTTTTAGCAGACATTTCATTTTCTTAAGTAATTATTAAACTTTACTCGTCTGATTTCATACAATAATTTAATAAGTTAAAATATAAAAATAAAGGAAGTTTTATTACTGACCCATATGAACTATATTGTATATGTTATATATGGCCAAAATGTGTAAAATAAAATAGTTTTTTAGTGGTATAGGAAGTACAAAAATGTGTCTAGTTTTTTGTGCACATGCCATTTTTATAATTACATGTATAATTACATGCTTATTAATCTTTGGAATGGGTACAGTTGCAGTCAGACAACCAACCTGAAAAATTTGTGTCTTTGTTAGACTTTTTTTTGATATAGGGGATTGACCCAGGGCCCAGTGAGCTACATTCCAGCCTTTCTTTCTTTTTTTTGAGACAATATCTTGTGAAGCTGCTAAACTGCTCAGCCTGAGCTTGAACTTGTGATCCTGCTGTCTCAGCCTCCTAGAGTGTTGGGGTCACAGGCATTTGTGACCATGCCCAGCTTTGACTAGACTTCTTTAAGACCTGTCTTCACAGAGAAAAATATCCTTTGCTTCACATTCGCACTTTATTCATATGGTCACTTTTTGGCAGTATGTATATCCATGACTATAACTATTCTCAAGAATGAAGCACACAAAACGTAAAATTAGATTAAAAATTTCTAGCTAGTCATGGTCCTGTATGCCCATAACCCCAGCACTCTGGGAGGCTGAGGCAAGGGGATTGCAAGTTTGAGCCCTACATGGGCAACTTAGCAAATTAGTGAAACTATATCAAATTAAAAAATAAAAAAGGGCTGGGGATGTAGATCAGTGTGAAGGCCCTGGGTTCAATCCCTAGTATTGTCCCCTTCCCAGAGAAGAAGATTCAATCATATTGTCTTGTAGTTTAATTTTAACGGTTCATGTAATTTTGTTGATGTATAAGTAACATAATGCAATCAATACACTGTTGGTGGGCTTTTGAATTTGTTTCAGTCTTTGTATATGGTGATTAATGCTGTGATAAACATTTTTAGACATGATTTCTGGCATACACAAACATATTTCTTTAGGATATGTACCTTGGAATGGAAATATGGATTCTTAGTAGGTCACTTTTCGATGTGTGTTTTATTAAGATAAGATAGACTTATGCTACAGTAATAAATAATCCCTGAGTCTCAGGGACTTAATGTATAAACTGTCTCTCATGCAAAAACCACTGGGTCTAGAGCAACTGCTATCTAGTTATGGTCGTCTAATCCTTTCTAGCACCTTTCCTGGGCAGAGCCTAAGAGGAAGCAGCTGGTAAGGGATCTGGGAAATGTAATATGCAGAGTTAGGGCACCAGTGTAACAGGTTAGAGAACAGGAAGGTGAGCTTGCAGCTGAAACACCACAGAGAATGCCTGGTGCACGAGGTGGATGTTTTTCCTTCGTTGAGATCTTTTTTGGCTTCCTGAATCTGGACACTGCTGTCTCTAATAAATTTTGGAAAATTACTAAGACATTTTCTCTTCCAGTATTATCTGTGTTCCATTTGAAACCCTGATTAGGGCTGGGGATTTAGCTCAGTGGCAAAGTGCCTGCCTGGCAAGTGCAAGGTCGTGAGTTCGGTTCCCGGTACCGGAGAGAAACCAAAAAAAAAAAAAAAAAAAAAAAATGAAACCCTGATTAAATGTTAGGCCCTCTCATGCTATTTTTCTTGTCTCTTAACCTGTCTCTTGTATTTTTGCTATATTTTCAGATTTTCTATAGCTTTCTTGTAATTTAAAAATTCTATTAAATACATTTCAGACTTTGTCTGTAAAGACCTAAAAGATATTTCTTTTTTTTTTTTTTTTTTTTTTTGCATTATACCATTTCTGTTAAAAGCTCAGCTATCTTGTCTCTCTGCTGCTCTTTTGAAGATAACCCACTCCCTCCTTTCTAGCTGTTTTAAGATATTTCTCTTTTAGTTTTCAGTCGTTTAACTATGGAAGTACCTCATGTGGGGTTCTTTTTGTTTTTCGCCGCTTGGCATTTACAGAGCTTCTTGAATGTGATGAGCTTTGGAGATTGCTGATGTTTATCTTCCAGGTGTTATCTGTCCTGGTTTTTGTCTCCCTCCTCTTTCTGAGACTGCAGGAATCCTGAGGTTAAAAACTTTTCACCATGTTCCTCTGTCTCCTACTCTTTCTTCCATGTCTGCTAGCTCTTCTTTTCTATTATTCTTTAGTCTAGATATTTTCTGTTGATCTCTCTTGTACTGTCCTGCCTTCTGCTAAAGCTATGACTGATTTCTTAACTTCAGTTCTTCTATTTCAGTTCTCAGATCTGTTCATTCTCACAAGCGCTTCACCACAGAGCCATGTCCACTCTGTTTTTTCATGATCCTGGGGACTGAGCAGAAAACTTTTGCCCTGGCCACACCCCAGCCCTTTCTCGTTATTTATTTTGAGAGAGGGCCTACGTGGCGAGGCTGTACATCTGCATCCTGGCGAAGAGCAGCAGGGACGGGAGGGAGGACAGCGCCAGCGCAGTGCCAGTGCCCACCACCACATGCCCACCAGTGGTTCCAGTCAGAGGCTCTGGCCAAGAAAGGGGACCTGAACCCGGCATGGGTCGCTGTGCATCGCCACCAGTGGGTCCTAATTCTCTGGAGAATTTTTCTTTTGTTTTCTCAGTCTTTTTGAGGTAGGGTTTCACTGTGCAGTTCAGGCTGGCCTTGAACTCCCAGAGATTCTCCTGCCTCAGCCTCCCAAGTGCTGGGATTGTAGGCATGCACCACCACTCCTGGCTTCAATATTTTTTCTTAAATCAGTGAAACAATTACTTGAAATTTTTGTCTAATAGCTCCATGATTTGTTTTTTGTGGGTTCCACTGTCTTTTAGCCCCTTGTTTTTTTGGGGTCCTTTAGTCTACTCCCTTGGCATAGCTGTAATTTTTTATTGAACACTGAGCATTGTATGACAAATTACAGAGATTCTAGGTGGTGATAACCTGCGCTTTCCTCTTCTAGGCAGAATGGACCCTAATACAGTCAGAGCCTGGCTGAGTTCATGGAGGCCGGGGTCCAGTTTTCATTAAGGCAGCTTCTGGTTTACCCTCATTCCTGCCCCAAGTGCTGTAGCCCTCCAGGGGTTTTTCAGGTGAGAGCCCAAAGGCTTTCACTGCACCTGTCCCCCGGCAGTTCTTCAGCCCTCGTCTTAGTACCGACTCTGCCCTCAGGATTCCGTCTGCTCTTCGGAGACTTTGACTATTGCATCTAAGCCACAAACGTTTTGCTTAGCATCCTCACTGTCCATCCTTCACAGTGTCAGAATTCAGAAAACATTTCAGTAGGTAACCGGGGTGTTTGGCTAGCTTGTCTACCTTTTGTATTCAATATTCTCACAAGCTACAGTCTAATTTTTGTCTTTCAGTTATTAAGGTTTGATAGGAAAAGAAAGATGAATTCTGTCTTTAAAGAATTAAGCGAATCGGAAAAACTCTCAGATGTGTGGTGATAACCTGCGCTGTAGATGTGTGACGTGGGAGAGGTCGGATACCAGAGGGCCTAGAGCCTGAGAAGCCCGGGGCTCGAGCGAGGGGCTGCTTTCACCAGGCAAGGGGTGCTGTGCAGGCGGCACTGGGGCCCAGCCTGGAAGCTAAGTAGCTTTGCTTTCTATGCTAGCCCTGTTTAAAATACATAAAATGGTTTTTTAAAGTAAAGGCCAAAGGAGTTTATAGCGATTGTTTTTTTCTTTTCTGCAGTACTGAGTATTAAACTCAAGGTCCTTCACACAGAGCTACATCTCAAACCCTTTTTATTTTTATTTTGAGACAGGGTCCCTCTTGCTGCCAGATTGCCCAAGTTGGGCTCAATGACAGTGACATAAAATATATTCAAAGCCATGAATTTGATCATGGAACAAATATAGCAGGTGTTCATCTGAGAATATAAAAGCCATTGCCCCCCACCCACAGTTATACCAAATAAGTTCATTTTCTAATGTGTGAAAATTATGCTATAAATTCCAGTGAAGTCTTACTTTTAGTATTGTGCAAAAAAAGTATAATTTTTTGTGAATTCATTCAGCAAATGGGATAGCTACATTAAAAACACGTAAATCTTGCAAATCAAGATCAAATATAATCAATGGACTTTACACAAATTAATTATATTTGTCAAGTATTTAAAAATATAACATCAAATAAAAGTAATATAATATCCTGAAATAGAAAGTATCTGGGTGCAAATAGAATATAAATTTT